GCGTGTCAGGGGCGGAAAATGGCAGCGGACCACGTGTCAGGGGCGGAAAAATAGCCGCGGACCACGTGTCAGGGGCGGAAAATGGCTGCGGACCACGTGTCAGGGGCGGAAAATGGCCGCGGACCCCGGGTCGGGCAGAAAAATGGCCGCGGACTACGTGTCAGGGGTGGAAAAATGGCCGCAGACCACGTGTCAGGGGCAGAAAATGGCCGCGGACCATGACATGGGCGGGAAAATGGCCGCGGACCCCGGGTCGGGCAGAAAAATGGCCGCGGACTACGTGTCAGGGGTGGAAAAATGGCCGCAGACCACGTGTCAGGGGCAGAAAATGGCCGCGGACCATGACATGGGCGGGAAAATGGCCGCGGACCCCGGGTCGGGCAGAAAAATGGCCGCGGACTACGTGTCAGGGGTGGAAAAATGGCCGCAGACCACGTGTCAGGGGCAGAAAATGGCCGCGGACCATGACATGGGCGGGAAAATGGCCGCGGACCACGTGTCAGGGGTGGAAAAATGGCCGCAGACCACGTGTCAGGGGCAGAAAATGGCCGCAGACCATGTCATGGGAGGGAAAATGGCCGCGTAACCTGTTCGTACCCCGAGGCGGAGTTCGCAAACCGAATTAAAATTTTGAGGCCGGAGCTGGTCATAACCCGAAAAGTTCGTTAACAGAAGCGTTCCTAACCCGAGGTTCCACTGTATTATGTGTGTAGATGAGGACAGGCTGTCCCGAAGGAAGAGTATTGTGGATACGGTGTCCATTCAGGTGGACATTCTTCCTGGCAATGGCGCAGAAGATAAGGTAGGTCCATCTGATCATGGAACATCTTGCAGCTTAGGAAAAACTTTTGCTTTTCTTACTCATTCAGGAAAACTCCCATCAGGCTGTTTTGTTTGTCCCGGAGTTATTGGTGATGGGGTAGCCCTACAGTTGCATGCGAAGGTCTAGGCTGGTCTGTTTGTCTCAGTAAATCCCTAAGTGAAGAGAAGATGGCGTAGCTTCTACATGGTAGAGGGTTAAACGAGATACCTTTCTGCAAATCTGAATGCACAGTTCCCATGTACAATTCTTTGCAGATTCAAAATAAGAAAGTGTGAATATGGCAGGTGCAGAAGCTTGGATATCCTTTCAGTCAGCAGTTCATGCCATCTTCTCTGGTCGAAATAACGGCTTCCAAACATTTCCAAAACCAGCTGGGAGTCTTTCTAATCTTACTTTTAGAATGTTTTCCCACATTTCCTGCCAGAACTCTTCTAGCTCAGAAATACTCTTGAGTCCCCTTGCAGGTACATCCTCTCAAGCATATAGTGACTTTTAGGTGGCTAATTGTTGTTTCCTCCTTGCATCCCCCTCTTGCTAAATCATTAGAAAGAGCTCAACATCACAGTTAATTATATATTTTCCTTATTGTTCAACGGTTAGTGTGATTGAAGCAAAATATCTCTCCCCTCCAGGTCAACAGCATGGAGGAAATTACCTTTGAAGCACTGAAGAAGGCTATAGGTAAAATGTATCACAATGTATAGTAAAATTAATCCTCCTTCCTACCCCCGTCCTCTTCTTTTGCACTCTGACAAGCAGTGGTTCTTTTCCAAGAATGTGACCATAGGCCTGGTACTGTGGCTTGGATCTCTTCAGGTAAACAATCAGGGGTGAGGAAATATGATCTCATGTTTGATATCTCATTTAATGTTAATGATGTGTGGAATTAGACCCCACACTGGATCAGGTTCATCCACTAAAGAGTCTGAACTAATAACCCTCTAACCAAACCAAGGTTTTCTTTTTAAATATTATTCACTTATTAAATGAGTAACTCAGAAATGTATATTGAATCAGATACGGTGGAATGCTAGGTGTCCCCGAACTTCCCCGAACTGCCCTGGAGTGACTCTGTCCTCTTGCAGGCTGCAGATACTCTTACTCTAAAGGAGGCCTGCACAGCTGGACTGAGACTTGAGTCCCAGGCAAACTGCTTCAACTAGGATGTTTGGGGAACTGCTTCACCGTGTATTTTGGGGCAAGGGCTTCATTTTTCTCTCTTTCTTTCTTCATCCCATTCTACATTTTTTAAAAAATTACCAACTTCTAAAGATAATACTGGCCTCGAAGAGCAGGAGAAGGAGAAGAGGCGCCTCGTAATTGAGAAGTTTCAGAAAGCCCCCTTCGAAGAGATCGCAGCCCAGTGTGAAACCAAGGTGAGCCAAGCAGGCTGGGCCTGCTTCCACAGCCCCCTGCTTGGGAGCCCAGATAGCCTGTGCATGGCGGCCGAAAGGAGTGAGAGACTGGCAGGCCAGGTCAGGACTCCACAGCTCCAGCAGCTGGGGTGACTGAGGGTCTCCTTTTCCCCTTGCCACGCTGATGGTACCACCTTTCCCGACAAGGGTGGAGGGCTGGGAGAAACAACCGGGTCATCATGTTTTATTCCCCATAATGAAGGGTGTGGTGTGCAAAGTAGGAGGGGGCGGCAGAATCCTTCACTGTCCCTTTTGTGGCTGGTGGATGGGAACTGGCGTCCAGAGGAGGGTTGCCAGATTGAAACCCCTGGCCAAAGAAGAAAGTCCCTGTTAAAGACTCTGGCTTGATAGAGTAGGAACAAGACTGTAGTTGGTGGCAAAAGCACTGCCTTCTGTCTTTGGGAGATGTAGGAAGATGGAAGTGAAACCGAGGGTATCGTGCTACGGCATTTTTCTCCCTGGGACTCTCTTTCCTGCTTCATCAGTGCCCGTCAGTGTGGGATAATGTGGGATGTGCGGGGCCTCAAGAAAACGAAGGAAGGAATCGTGCCTTCAGTATTATCAGATCTCACTCAGTCTGTTTTCCTTCCAGGCAAACCTCCTCCATGACCGACTGGCTCAGATATTGGAGCTCACCATTCGGTAAGGGGAAAGGCTCCCATCTGGGAAAGGCCCTGTGCTGCCCTTATTGGCAGCCTCGCTGAACAGAGCCCCCTTGTGCCTGAGAGAACCCTATCCCTGGGCAAGAGAAGCTGGTTGACCCGATTGGAGCTTGGAGTCATGAGGTCAAAGGGTGGGAAATTCAGGGAAGACAAAAGGGCTGTTTCAAGTAAGCCTTGTTCACATTTTTCCTGGGTAAACCAGCAATCAGAGATGCCCTGGTCAAATGGGGATGCCTTGGTATCCATTCACTTTCTGATTTTTTTTCAATGTTTCAAAGAAAAAAAATGGCAGAAATCTATTTGGGCTTAGTGTCAGCCCCTGAAAGTGCAGGTACCCACTTACCCACTGCTCATTCAGCGACCATTCAAAGTTACAGTGGTGCTGAAAAAGGAGATTTACGACTGGTCCTTGAATTTGCGGCCATAACAGCATCCCCACAGTCACATGATCGTGATTCAGGTGCTTGGCAACCAGTGCACATTTACGATGGTCACAGTGTCCCATGGTTATGTGGTCACCATTTGTGACCTTCACAGCCAGCTTCCAACAAGCAAAGTCAGTAAGGAAGCCGGCAGGAAGTCACAAGTCACAGTCATGTGACATCCACTTAACAACTGTGGTGATTCACTTTATAACCACAGCGGGAACTGACGTCATAAGTCGGACATGGTCAGTGATGTTTCACTTTATGACCACATTGCTTAGTGATGGAGTTGCTGGTCCCAATTGTGGTCGGTAAGTGAGGACTACCTGTAATCTTTTTGTCCTGATAAGTTGGTTCTCAGTAACAATTGCTGGATTAACCAGAGTCTGTGTTAGTCTCTGTTGGCTTTGATTACTTTTCCACCCTACCATGTACTTTTACTGTTCAAGCAGTAGATAGATTGCTAACTGTCTCCAGTAGCAAAAACAACAATTTAGGGATAAATACATTCCAAGACCCCAGAGAAGCCATTTTGGATCTGACTTTACCAAAAACCTGGGTTCGGAGCTTACTGAGATGTTGCAGAAAGACAGAATGCTGACTTCACAGTGGCTAGGTACGCACTGTAATCATTCTCGTGTTTCTCTTACAGCCCCCCTCCCAGTCCTTCTGGAACACTGACCATCACTGCGGGATGCCCCCATTACCAATCTGTTCCCGTCTATGAGATGAAGTTTCCAGATCTTTGTGTGTATTGAGAGTCTTCAGGCCTCTGCTGGGAATTGTTTAGTCTTAGAGCACACGCTGTGTAAAGTCCAGAGCTCTTCTCACTCTTTCCCTGTCACATTTTAATAGAGCTTTCAGAAATAGTCCTGAACAGAAAGTGCAGTTAGGCTGGGATTGTGCCTGAAAGATCTTATTTTGTACACTCTACTCCTGAAGTTGTTGTGAAGAAAAATGAAAAGCAGAAGACAATTTATTTTTGGCAGCTGGTTTTATGGTTTAGAAATAGAGAGTGCTTAGGCTAGAAGCCAGAGGCCCACAATTCTACTTTGTCTAGAAGTTACCAGGCTACCTATCAAACTCTGAGCTGGCTTGTTTACTATCAGTCGTTTTTGCAACACAAAACTTAAGCACCTTACACAATGCTAGGTCAGCACTTTGCTATCAACTAAATGATGATGCTAAATACTAGGCCACACTGAAGAACTGGCATGTGTCCCCATCATAGTAGTTAATCTGAACCATAATTTGCTTTCTCAGAATTCCATACTCTTGCAAATTGCTGTCACATGCACTGTTCTGGTAAAGAAAAGCCTCCTTTTGAGCATTAAAGCCTGCAATATTTTTCATGTCTTAAAAATGTCTAGTCTACACCCCGTACTTTGGGAAAAAATGTATTTTTGCTGTGCAGCGATATATAAATTATATAAATATATATATTTAGTATAGCACAAGATATTAAGGGCATTTTAAAATGATAGGGTTTTTAAAAACAAATTTCTGAAATTGTAATAGAAGAGCTGGTTATTCTATGAATTATTTCTCTCTGTAGTATAGTGGTAAAAATAGTGATATTTTGTTAACTGAAAAAAGAAAACCTGGATGGAGCATCTAGGGAACTTAGAATTTTTATTGTAATGCACACGTCCCCCTTCTTTTCCATCTGCCAACTGCCCTTCTTTCCCCAAGGCTAGAATATGTCTCCCTCCTGGTCTAGAGACCGAAGCTTTCTGAGGACTTTCTGCTTAACACCCATTGCACGAGGGTTTTTTTTTTTTTTTTTAAATGTTTAGCCCATCCTGCAAATATCTTCAAAAGCCCAGTAACCGCTGGCAAGCTTTTGTAATCTAAGGCCCACACTGTCTTCAGCTGCCTGGGTCAGTTTGCTGATGAAAGTGGGGCAGGGTGGGGGAAACAGATCTCTTTGGCATAGTAGTTTTTTACCTAAGAGAAATGAATTGGGGAGAAGTCAGGTCCTAGGATTTTTTTTTTTTT